GGGCAGGGGCAGCCGGCCTCTAGGACTCTGGGGGGCTGCAGGCAAATTGTGGCTGCTGCCACTGGCCATTCTCCTGGCAGCGAATGAGGGGCCAGCGGTGCTGAACGAAGCCTTCTGGGCACCAGTACCGGAGGACGGAATTGACTTCGTAACGCTGCTTTGCTTTGCCAAATATCTGCGCATCGGCCACTTTGGGAGGGGAGCTGCATGAGACTGGGGAGAAAAGTCCAAGGTCAGTTGTGTCCCCTGCTCAACAGCTGGGAGGGGGGAATGCCCAGCACGGTGTATTTGGGGGCAGCTGAGGGGTGTGTGTGTGTGCTGGCATTGGACCACAAGTCCCAAATTGCCCTGGTGTCCAAAGCAGCCTCAGCCAGAGGGGGAAGACGAGGCCCAGCATATCTGAAGGGCCCCCTCCAGCACAGCCCCAGGGCCTCTGGCCACGAGCAGGAGATCCTGGGTTTCTTCCAGACAGACACTGTCCAGCTTCCAGTGGCCAAAGGATCGGTCAGGGGCCCTTCTTGGCTGGTCCTAGGGTCTGGACCAGGGACACCCCCACCCCCCCGATCTTCCTTGCCAGGCAAGCAAAGGTCGGTCACACCCAAAGCCTCTTCAGGCCTGTGGAAAAGCATAAGCTTAGATGCCCAGCCTGAATTCTTGGGTGCCATTCTTTTGCTGACTCGTTGCTTTGCCTTTAGCTTAGTTTCTTAAAGGGTCCTGGAGAGGAAACCAGGAGCGGGTCTCACTTTGGGAAAGAGGGTTTCTCCCCTTGGATACTCACTCAGCCCCATTTTGCAGGTGAAGGGCAGATGGTAGCCACAGGGCACGTCACTCCACTTCCCATCCTTTCGCCAAGACAGGCCCACACAGTTCTCCCCGTAGAGGAAGTGGCTGTCAGGCTGCCCGTCATGCCAGTTCTCGTACAGCTTCCAGAGCAGGCAGAGAAAGAGAGAGGTCAACCACTCAGGCCTGGGCAAGGCTGGCAAAGGGGCGAGGGTTGCCCAGGATGCTCAGCTCAAGCAGGGAGGGAGGGAGGACGGGAGGGACTTTTCTTATTTCCAGCCTCGAATAGCTGGGCTGCTATGCGACATCATGCCCTGTGGGGGAAGCCATTTTTCTTCAAATCTGCTCCTTTCTACCCTGACTCGCCTGATAACTACAGCCAGCTTCAGTGGACAAGGCAGCTGTAGGAGTCTGGCTTTTTGCTTGGTCTGCTAATAAACGTGAAGGATAAGCCCACTTAGGATGGGACACAACAGGCAGAAACCTCAGGGGGGCCAAGAACCCCCTCCAGCTCAGACCACACAAAGAGGCATCACAGGCACAGAGATGAAGACCCCCTCCCACTTGGGAGACCCCACCTATGTGGGGTTTTTTCCATCCTAAAGGCCTCCTTTCCGAGGGCTCCCAAGGTCTCTCCAGAAGCTGGCAGGTGCTTCTTTGCCAGGACTGAGTTCTACGGAGTCGCCCCTTTTCCAGAGCTCAGGGTCTTCAGCTCAGGGAACTTTCTGAGCTCCACTTACCAGAGGACTCCCGTCAGACCACTGGAAGTCCCCTTCGATCGTGCGGTCATTCAGGCCAATCCACTGGTATTCTTTGTACTGATCTGGAATCGAGGAAGGGACCCTTCAGGAATGGGGAAAGTGCCCTTCAGCCACCCTGCTCTGGCCCAGACAAGGGAAGGGCACAATAAGAGCAACCAAAGCAACGAAAGCTTACTTCCCTCCTGGGGACCCCTGGATCTCCCACCCTTTCCCACTGGACAGGTGGAGAGACCAATAGGCCAGGAAGGTGAGGAAGAAGAATGGAGCCCTGGAACCCTCCGTGAAGGGGACACGCCCAATGCCTGCCAGGGCTGATGGCACAGGTTTGCTCAGGCAGCCACGAGAGCTGGACATTCCCAACAGCCCTGAAGCTCCAAACTGATCCAAGACCCAGACCCCTACTGTTGATGAAGCTCTGCTCCTCTGGAGACATGATGTTGGCCAAGTGCCCCCCGTGCTCCCTGCATCGGGTCTCGGCATCCTCCCAGCTCCTCCGGGCAGAAAAGTGCTTGTAGCAGAATCCTTCGAAGGCATCCCAGCCGGGCTGGCACTTCCTCAGGCCTGGAGAGAGAAACAGAAGCCAGGATGAATCCTGCGGCCTCCGATTTTGGTGGAAGGACGTTTGCTTGAAAGGAGGAGGAACAGCCAGGGTTGCCATGAACTGGGCACAGAATAGCATCCTCTGCCCCACAGGATTCAGCCCTCTTGCACAGCATCCCCAGGATATGGATGGGGATGGCAAGTGGAAAAAGAGAGGCTACTGCCGGTTGGAGATCTGACATGACCCCCAGGAGGTTTCCTTTCTGGACGTCTCCCCTCCCTGTTGGCTCAATTAGGGGCATCAGCTGCTGCTGCTCAACCATGAGAGAAGCCCTGTCTCTGGACTCCCTGGCAGACTTTTGGCCAGCTCCCCTGTGGTCCTGGCCCTGATAAGGCACCCTGTGCCCCATTTACTCACTGACGTCGCAGGTGTCCCCTCCGTATCCTGGCAGACAGAGGCAGCCTGGGCGGCCACTTTCTTCTGTGCAAGTCCCTCCGTTCCTACAGGGGTTTGACATGCAGTTGTCTGAAAGTAGATGGGTGAAGGAGTAGGGTCACCCTGGAACGTTTTGAGAGATGCCCCAATCCTCATCCTTTCCTTTGCCCAGCAGACGAAGCTCAATCTCATGCCCCAGTTGGACCGGCTGGATGCACTGGGACTTGGGGGTGGGGAAAGCAGCGGATCAGGAGGTGATCAGGAGGGGCAGAGAAACAGTCCAGATAGAATTACTACCATATAAGATGGTTGGGTTCACACAACCCCCACCCTTCTACATCAAGGAACAATGGGCTGTGAAATATCCAGGTATCAAATAAAGCAAGTCCCACTTTTGGGTGATGGCCGTGTTCAAACGACTGCTGGTTACTGAAGGGATCCGTTTTCTGAGCTTGAGCAATTGAACGGAACCATGAATTAAGGCTTCCTGCAATACTTTAAGCCACAACAAACCTAAGCCAAACTTAAAGCTGAACCAGCTTCACGTCTGACTGCTAAAACAAAGACTGGGGGATGGCATTTGATCCTGGGCAAATGCATGGTGTAAATGCAGCCATGTTGCCTTGCATGTTTTTGTGCTAGATGAAATGGAAACCCAGTTTGCCAAACAATTGCAATTGATTAGCCAAGAAGAAGGCCACCCCCGGGAGGTCCCAGGGGGAGGGAGAGCAGTGGCCCGGCTGCCTCAGGGGACTCACCTTGATCAGCTACAGCTCAGGTGTCTCCAGCGTGGCTGAGCTGAGCCAGAGTCTTTGGGCCTCTCCAGTCTTTGGGGCTCTTTGCTTCCCTTTGCAGACTTTTCCCACCCTCCTCCTTGCCTTGGCCCCCCCCAGTCAGCAAGGGTGGGCAGGAAACTCAGCAAGAGGCTGACAGGGACAGGCAGGGGGGTGGGGGATGCTGCAAAGATGCTTCCATCAGCCTGGGATCCGGGGGCGGAGGGCTGTTGGGCAGTGTTGAGCTGGTCCAAGTGTCGGAAATGCCTGCAAAGCCCTCCCTCCCTTTCATCTCTCAGAGGATTTTGTTCCCTTTCCCCCTCTCCCTCCCCCCCTCCCTCCCTCTCTCCCAGATGACTCCATCTCCCTAGAACGAGCACCATGCAGAGAGGCTAAAGTTAAAAAGGGAGGAACAGCCTCACAGCAACTTCTGGAGCTGGAGCTGGTCACAGTCCAAGAAATGCAAAAGCCCCAGGGGCTCCGTCTCTCCCCTTGGCTGCCCTGACATTCCATATCTGGTTCTGCCCTGCACAGGCAGGCTGCCTTGGACCGTCAAGGGGACCCGGCCCGGCAGACCAGATTAAGAGACCTAAAAGGTCTTGCAACACCTCAGCCGAGCCTGCCTCCTAAGGCATCCCAAGGGCATCCCTTTGGCTCGCTGGAAGGAAAGCATACACAAAATGAAACAGGGGTGGGGTTAGTTCAACAAAACGAGACCTCCAGAAAGACTAAAGCGCTGAGGAAGATTGCCCTACATGCAAAATCTCCCTGGCGTTATAATTGCGGCTAATAGGCGTGGGAAAGGACGGAAGAAGAAGAGTAAGGCGGAGGTTACAAAGTAACAGAACCCGACTAGAAATTTGTTTGTTAACAAATGTAAATAAAATACTTGGAGAACCTTAAAAAAAACAACAACCAAGAACCCGAAAAGATTCTTTTTCAATTTGGAAACTTTAAAGGGAGTTTAAAAAAAAAGAAGAAGAAGAAAAGGATTGGTTAATGACTCTAAATTGGAACCTAATTGGATTGTAACGTGGAATTTGGACTATATAAATCTGGACTGAATTTTAAATTGACTTGGTGTAAGTAAAAACTGTTAAAACAGACTGGAACCAAAATGGATGCCTTTTAAGCTTGCCAATTGTAAACATGGATTGTAGAGAGACATCTTCAGGAGGGAAAAAAAAATCATTATAGCACTGAACTTTTTAAAAAGAACAAAATGGTTTTCCTTTAAAAAGGAAATGGTGATAACGATGTACCTATCACTGAAAATGGAAATAAGGGAAGACAAAGACAAAGAGATTGATTATGGAAAATTAAATGATTGTTACGTTGGGTTTAACAATGGAAAAAAATGGAAAAAGGGGAAAGAAAAGAAAAGAAGAGAGGATGGAATAGAAAGGATATAAAAAACTTAAATGATTACACTGGGGGTTATCAGTGAGAAAATAAGAAAAAGGGAAAAGGGATGGAAAATAATGGGAAAGACATAGCAAAATAGAAGAGTTTATTATCTTAAAAAACAAAATGACTATATTGGGATTAGGGAAAAGAGAGATCAGGACTTTAAAATACAAAAAAGAAGAAGGGATAAGAAAAAGAAAGTAAAATATAAAGATAGAAAAGGAGAAAGAAATGGAAGGAGAATATGGGGTAAAGAAAATGAATAAAAGATGAAATTGTATTCCTAAAGAAGTGATTTTAAAACTATATGGGTGTATGAATATTTGGAATATTTTTAATTAATGAAGGGGATTGTAATAAACGAAATACCCTTAATTGGATTATGAATTAATTAGATATTCTTAACTGGTCTTTATAAAAATGATATAAAAATGTTATAAAAATGTTGAAGCTTATTAGTTGGAACAGTTGACAAAGAAAAAATTATTTGAGATTGGAACTAAAGAATTTAAGAAAATAATTGGGAATTGTATTATGCTTTATGAATCTAAATGTAGAGGTATTGGAGTAAGATTGATATTTAATTGATTTTTTATTGAATGTGTTTAATTGTTGCAATGTATTATTTGGAATAGTTGATAAAAGAATCACTGGTGATTGGAATAGGAGAATTTAAGGTAATAATGGGGGATGGTATTATGTTATATGAATTTAAATTTAGGAGTTCAAATTTTAAGGAGGGAAAAGAAAAAATGAACTATATTAGGATAGGAAGTTAAGATGAAGGGTAATATTGTTTTTTTAGAATTAGAGAGAATAATGATATGAGAAAATTTATATATAAAATTGTGTTAAAATTGTGTTAAAGATGAACAAAAATCTGTATAAATCTAAAACCGGGCCAATATTCTGTTCAGAAAAGATGGACTGTATGTTTGTTTTGTGTGTTTTAAAAAATAAAAAAACTTTATTAAAAAAAAAATAGAAAGTCATCACAGCAACCAGAGTGGAGCAGACCTTCCCAAGCCTGATGTCGAGTGTCAAACAACCCCTCGACACAATGTCCTGGGGAATATGAAACACCTGAACATGAGCATCTGTGCAGATCCAGAATGAGATGGAACAGACCCGGAAGAACACACACGGTGTGTGGGGGGGTGTTATAGCGTGTAGGATGGCACGGTGATATTAGGTGATGGACGGTATAAGGGAAAAGGGGGGGGGAATAAATCCATCAACGTCAAACAGATCCCAGTGACAGGAGAAGATAGTAAAAACCCGGAAGTAAGGGCAACCTGTACGTAGCCAGAATGGGATAAGCAGCGCGGTTACTTTAAATTTGTAGTAGAGCAAAGGAGGGGCGCTTGAAGGGCGTTCTATAAAGCCGGAGGCACGGGAGAAACAGCCGTCTCCGACTTTGCTTCTCACCAAAGAACTTCAGCGCTTACTGTTTGACCATCGTGTAAGCTATGATTAAACCGGATAGATTCCTCTTCTGAGCGTGAGCCTGTGTCTTTATCCGGTGCAGCACAGGTGGTTCCAAGTGGGTCTGACACCTGACTGATTGGTCTTACCACCAAGCCAAGCCTAACAGACTTGAAAGAGAGGACCCTGAGATGGAGACTAAAGACTCATTTCAATCCCCAGAAGACAGCTGGAAAGACAATGGGGGAGGGTGGAAATTACTTGTAAGATTTTCTTTCTTGTCTCATTTACGTTGTAATCGGTTAAGTGGATTCATGTAGGGATGGCATTTGAGAGTGGTTGAAACAGCAAATTCTGAACACCTTAGATTTCTATCTGGTGGAAGGGAAATTTGTCCAGAATTTCTGTGTTGCCTGTATTTTAGAAGTAGCTGCATACACAAGCACACACACACAGACACCCCATTCAGAATTAGACTGAGGTTATCCCTTTCACCTACCTGGACACAAAGCTGCTCCTAGCTTCCTTTTGTTGTTGTTGTTGTTTTTTGCTCTGTGGCACTAAGGCCCAAGCAGTCATATCTCCCTGCTAATTCCATGAGAGAGGGGGCATCCCCCTCAGGCAATTCCCTCACTGAAGCAGAAAAGAGTGATAGCACTGATAGCAGAAAAGAGATCTCCAAAACCCAAGTCCTGATTGTGACTCACAAATGATGCTGCCCAGTTGCCCAGTAAAGCAGGATATGTTGAACTGATGGTTTCATGAGTAGGAGTTCCAGGGCTCATTGTGTGTAATTTTAAAAATACTAAATAGCCTGGATTGCACAATAGCTAACCTCAATTTGGCCTCACAAAACTAAGAGCTAGTGCACATTTAGTAAACAACTCTTAAAATGGGCAGCCTGTAGTTATTTAAAGGCAAAACCATGCCTGTGAAGAATTTTGGGGCTTGTGCTTGCTTGAAACCTGACGGGAAGCTCACAGAACCTGATATCTAACCTCTGAAAATAATTGGCATGGAAAACTGGATACTTTAAATTACTTTCCAGAACTTTTCTCTGGATGCTAGACCTTCATGGTTGAAAGCTCTCCCTTTGGGAGTCACTGAATGAATCCTTTTCTGCTGTCTCTATCAATGCCTTCCCCTCTGCATCAGAAAAATTAAACGCACTCATTAAACTCCCTGATCTGATCAATTTTTAATCTTTTGCCAATAACGTGTGTTCCACCCACATATTTTGGCAAAAAGGGGGGATTGTAGGAAGTTGGCACCCACCCCTCTTCTAGAAGAATGAAATATTCTAGGAAATATTAAAAAGGCAGAATATTATACCTTCCTGGATGAGAAAAGGAGAAACATACTCTTGGACCTTTGTTAATAACCCCAGAAAGGCTGGTGCCAACCTAGCTACAAGACAAAAGGCTGGGCCATCTTATCTACAGAACAAAAGACCTTCACCCTCAGGACATGATAGGATTAGCCCTCACTCAAGATCCAAACCAGGACAAAGCCATTAAGCCATAATAGGAATTGCCCAAAGCCCCTTCATTACATCACCCAGCAAGATTCAACCAAGCCTGGGACTCAAGACAACCTACAAAGTTACTTCTGCATGGCCCCATGGGAGTCTGACAACCAATCAGAATACATTTCTTTCATAGAAACAGGAACCAAGTTCAAAGCCCAAGAGAGGTTATAAATCTCTCTCACCCATGTGCTCATTTGCCCAGGACCCAAAAAAAACCCCATGTGGTTCTGTCCACCATTAAAGCATCTTTCCAAACAGCCTCCATGTTTCCATATCTTTCTTCCCACTTGGAATTGAATCCAGATGGACATTTCTTCCAACACTACTTTTCTATTGCCAGGGGGATTCGCCATGGAGCTGCTTTAATCTGTGTCACTGCTGCCCTTCTGTGGGGTGGCCTCCTGGGCTGGCTGCCAGCCCTGCTGCTGGTCCCACCACTGCAGCAGCTGCAGCACCCGAATTTCTCATATTTCTCATGTGAAAACTGCACTGTGTTGTTTTCCAGACTCCTATAGCTGGGAACTGGATAGCCCAATGCAATCTTTCTCTCATCAGCCAATTTCTTTTGCGTTTAATTGCCAAGCATTTCGAAATTTCTTTGAGTGGGAAGGAAGGAAGGAAGGAAGGAAGGAAGGAAGGAAGGAAGGAAGGAAGGAAGGAAGGAAGGAAGGAATCGGGCATCCCTGACTATTGCCATGGACTTTGGCATGGCAGAGGCTGATGGAGAATACAGTATGTTTTTGGCGAGGAGCTCATCCTTCTAATGTTGGGCTGGGGGCAGTTGTGAAAAGTGATGGAGGGAGGGCAGCAAGGCTGTCCTGAGAGGCTCCTGGCTTCCATCTCTGCTCTGCCATCAAGCCGAATGGCTTCTTTGGCTACGGATACGCCTGGTTTCCTAGTTGCCTTGGAAGAGAGGCAAGATAAAAAGGTAGCTAAATAAAAAAATGGGCAGCCCATTTCCCGTGGCTGGTGCTGCAACCATTTTGCCAAAGGGAGCGAGAGAAAGCGATGCCAGGCGACAGGACAGGAGTGGATGGCAGTGACCCGGGAGGGCTCCTTCAGATACAGCCCTGGGATCTGAAAACATCTTCAGCCTCTGAAACTTCCCAAATTTCTCTCCACACTTCGTATCTTTTGGTCACAAAACAAAACAAAGTATTTAAAGACCCAATTTTGAAGGAGCTCAGTTGAAAACCCCAGCTTTTCTGGTCTCCTAGTGCTACATTCCAAGGCACGGGGCCTATTTCAACATCTCGTGGAAGTGAAAAATGTCTGGCCAAATAGTTTCGATCAGTGCAATGATTTCCCCAGCCACACAAAGGGGAAGTCAGAGGCTCTTTTCCCAGATCCCAGGGGACGCTGCAGGCCTCCCCTCCCCAACTGGATTCTGAACCCTGGCCATATTTCTTCCTTCATTTGATAGAGAAGAGAAGCTACTTGGATCCAGGTGCTGAGCAGAGGGTGGACCTGATGACCTCAGTGCCCCTTTTAGCTCTAACGGGGCTCCAGCGATTCCCTGAACTCAAAAAGGGAAAGTTCATTAATGCAGGAAAGATAAGAAGGAACAGGAGGGAAAGTAAAGAAAGAGACAGGTACAGACATCCAGACAGTTTTCTTCTCGAAAGCTTTTAATTTCTTATTTCTCTTTCAAATTAGTCTCCTTCCTGGTCCGTTTTTTTATGGAAACCATGGTTAAAACACTTCATAGAAGTAGCAGAGACTTAAAGAGCACGCACTCTCTAGGGTGGTTTGTGTCTGTGAGTAACACGTGTGCTTCTCTGGTTCCTTTGCCTTCCCCAGTCCTAGAAATGAGCAGGAAGGAAGAGGAGGAGGAGGAGGAGGAGAAGGAGAGACATAGGAAAGTACAGCCTGAAAGGAGACGCTGAGCCAGGGATGGGTTTAGTGTGGCAGGACAGCCAAAATAGTGGCCAAGGATGCCAAAGCCATAGAGCCAAAAGGATTACCTGACACGCTGCCAGATGCTCCAAGGCTGGCACTTTCAGTGGGCAGAATTGGCCGAGAGTGGGTAGTAGTCAAGGAGCCCTCCAGGAATGGGGTGCTGAAGAAGTCCAAGCCCAAAGGGCCTCCAGAGGGGACAGCCTCTGGGTGCCCTTCTTTATCTGCAGCTGGCACCGTTGTCCTCAGAGCCGGTCCCTGCTCCTCCTCCGATGCTTCAGCCCAGGGCTCCTCCTTGGTCGCATCAAGCTCCTCTCCGAGGCCAGAAAAAACCTTCAGGACAGCCGCGGCCTCGTCTGGAGGACTGGAGATGGCGACTGGGGAGACCCAGGTTGGTGGTGGCCAGGAGGAACCCGAGTGGTCCCCACTTTCTTCAGGCGAGCCGGCTGGTGTCATGCTTAGGGACGGGAGCAGCACAGGAACCCAGGGGGTCACTGGGAAAGCGGCTGTCCCTGAAGGCTCAGCTCCTGCCTTTCGGGGAGGATCGGGGTGGCGAGTGCCTGCCGGCCCAGAAATGAGGCTGCTTTCGACTCGCCTGGCAGAAGAAGTTCCTGCACCAGCTTCTTCGGGTGGACTGGAAGCATGGCTGGCATCGTGGGTCCTTTCGGTGACTGTCTCTGAGGGAGACACGGAAGGATCTTCGTGGACTTTGCCCACTGTCTGCCACTCTGGGCTGTCGGAGAAGCTGGCTGCAGTCTCTGGGGAGGGCTCCACAGGGCTGTGGACACTGTGGGGCTCCTTCTCATCCCTGGGCTGGCTCCCCACTACCTCTCCATCCTCAGCCTCCTCTTCCTGGGGAGCTGCCTCCAAAATCTCTGGCTCGCCTTCCTCCCTCTGTTGCCTTTGGTCCAGGACGTGGGCCTCCTGAGTGCTGGGTACCTCCTCCAGGCTGGGCTCCACCAGCTCTCGCTCTGAAAAGCCAAAGGAAATGGGTGAGGGAGAGAAGACGTCCAGGGAGGAGCCCCAGCCACTCCCTTGGCATCCACAAAGCACATGGACACTCCAGCAACAGAGCTTCGTCTCACGCAACACGCTGCTTCTGCCCTCTGTTTTTGTACAGGTGGGCATGATCAAACATTCATGACTCTTGTCACTTTGTGTCAAATTCTAATCAATTTGCAATTAATTGATCCAACATCAACCTCATCAGATATTTATCAGCAGCTCCTATCAAATCTGCTCTCAAATATCCAGGCAAAACTATTAGGGGAATCTGGTGGCCATGCAGTTTCTTGATCAAGGACCATAAAGTCTATTTTCACACTCCCCCCCCCAAATACATCCCATGCCCCATCAGGCACTGGGAAGTCCATCTCTTGCAAGGCCTCAGCAGCTGCTGGCCCCCAACTGCCCCCACTGCCTGCGCCCCTCCCTCCCATCGGCTGACAGGGTTGCCTATCCAGACCATCAGGAGATGGCCACAGAAACAGAGCCCATGGCCACGCAAGGCCCTTCTCCCACTGCACTGTCACTGTTGAGTAGAGCCAGACCATTAGGGACTAGGACGATTGGCTGCAACTACCTCACCCCACCCTCCCTGCCCCAGCCAACCCACCATGGCTGCCCCTCCCCAGCCTCCTCGCCCTGAGCAATTCACCACAAGACAATTTGCCCGGCCAATTCATCATGTGGGACAACTAGCCTTGTCAAATGCCAGAGATGAGGGAAAACGTCACATCCATGCTCCTCTCCGCCCATCTGTCCCACCCTCCCTCCATGATCTGGCTTACTTCTCCCACCAATATCCCTCGAACTCCGTGCTCCCTTCCTCATTGCACAAGCAGCACAACCTGGGTGTTTGAATTAAAGGCTCCGCCCCACCCATTCATTGACGGCTGTGAAGAATTGACTGTAAAATGAATGATGCCACATTGCCCTGTGCCAAAAACTTTCTCTCTGGCCCTTTCTTGTTAGCAACAGGGTGTTGGTACTGGAAGAGGCTGTGTGTGGCAAAGAACTCCAGGAACAGGCCTGGGATGCAGGTGGAGAAGAAGACCCAGCCATGCTCCTCTGCACTGTTGCCAGCCCTCAGCCTGTGCACAGGGTGGCTTCACTACTGCCTGGGCAGGTGCCTGATTAGGCTTCCTCGCTCTGTTCTCCAAAATACATGAGTGCACAGTAAACATGTGCAACATGAGGTGGCTGGGGAGGGAGGGTCAGCTGGGGTCAGAGGCCAGGGGAGGCAACTGGGGGGAAGCAGCTGGGGCTAATTGTCCCATTCCAAACAGTTATGCCTCTCCACATGTCTCTTTTCTGACTAAAGAGGGCATCCCTCTGATCATTGTCTCAAATGCAGACTATGGGATATTCCCACATGCAGACGTGAACCTCCAGGGCTTCTTGGGGGTATCTCACTGCTGTGGATTGTTCTGATTTTGGGAAGAACTGAACATGGTACATCCAAGATGGTTTGAAAGAAAACAGAGACAAAGAAGATGAACCTAAAACCTACAAAAATTGCTTGCACCCCCTCAACCCCCACAGGACAGAGGGATTGGAGAAAAATAGATCTCAATGCTCTAAGCTGTTTGTGCGGTGTGTTCATGGCTCTTAGCTCGGGGCTGCTGGTACAGTCCCATTGCTTTCAATGTGTAGAAGAGCACACAGCTTACTCTCTTGCACTCCCTTTCTCCAATCTCTCTTCTCTGAAAGGGAAGAAAGAAACAAAGAAAAATACACAGGTTAGGCACAGTTCAATGTACTGACTGTAATGGAGATCACGTGGCTGAGGAATGTGACAAAGGTAATAAATGGTTGTAAATTGGTATAAAGTTATTTTTTCAGCACCATTGCAACTTTGAGTGGTTGCTGAATAAATGGTTGGTAAGTGAGGACTACCTGCCTAGAAATCGGCCACTGGAGGGAGCCAAAGTTCCAGGCAGCAAAAAGGAAGTGAAATCTACAAAATGGCAAACAAGAGTATGGCACTTGAGGCATTTCAAAGAATTTTTGAAGAACTGGGAGAGAAACATATAACAAATTTGGCAGCAATAACTTCTGCATCTGTAAATGTCTTTTTTGAAAAAGAGAAGAAATAAAAAATATGATAGACAACAATACGGAAGAGTTTATGGATAGACAGGATGAAGAGAGGATACAAATTGTAGCTGATGGGGAAATATGGGAAAATAAAGAAATTGCGGATTACAAAATAGCGAAGACAATCAGAGTAGAAATACAAATGACAAATCAAGAGATGAAAAAAGACCTGGGCTGGGACTTCTTTTTGGACTTATTTATTTATTTATTTATTTATTTATTTTGTCGCATTTCTATGCTGCCCAAATCCCAAGGGACTCTTACAAAGGAGGGTTTTTAAAATCCTAAGAAATCTTTGAGATGGGAGAAAGTAAATGTGAATGGAAATTCAGTCCTACTATAGCAATCTCATGAATCAAAGATGAACATTTATTAATTTGCCAGTATTTGTTGCAAAGAGTATTGGGAATTGCTTCTTTAAATATTCTTTTCCCCCCTGAAATTAGGAAATTTGTTTCCTAATTTCAGTTTGTGTTATCTTTTAACTCGTCTTTTAGTATTTTTTTTAAAAAAGATGCCCCTTCTCTCCCACCACCTACCAGGCTCATGTCGCCTGGCACAGCTGCCACCACTTTCCTCCCCTTCTTCTCCTCCGCTCTGCCTGTCACAACCGCCTGGGCCAGCCTCCTCGGGCTCTGTGGTGGCTGCTTCCTCAAAGGCTTTGCTTGGCTCCTCTGGCACCCCAAGGGGGTCCTGGAAGAGGGGCACAGAGTAAATGGCCCCCCTGGACTCCTTGGCCCCCTCGGGCTCTCTCTCGGACAGCTGCAGCTCCTCCATCTTCTGAGTCACCGTTGTTATCTCCTTGCTGCTCTCGGCCTCAGGGACGGGAGATTCCAGGGAGGGGCTGGTCTCCTCTGCAGCAGAAAGAGAAGCGGGGTTACTGCCCAAGCCTTCTTCTGGGACCCTAAAAGCCATCTGGGCTGGGTAGGGGCCTGGCTGCTTGCTTGGGAATTGAAAGCTACTCCTTGAGATGCAGAAGCTGGCCAAGGTAGTACCCCTGTACTACCTCAAGAGCCTTGGTAGTACAGAGGTTTAAGGCACCCTGTTATTAAGCTGGTTATTAAGACCAGCTGCCTGCAATTACTGCAGGGTTCAAATCTCGCCAAGGCTCAAGGTTGACTCAGCCTTCCATCCTTTCTAAGGTAGGTGAAATGAGGACCCAGTTTGTGGGGGCAATAAGCTGACTTTGTATAAATATACAAAAGGATGAAGGCTATTGCTGAGCACATTGTAAGCCGCCCTGAGTCTCCGGAGAAGGGCGGCATATAAATCAAATTTAAAAAAAAAAAAAAGGAAGATCCCTGCTTACCTTTGAAGCAGAAAACATCGAACTTGTTCTGAGGATCTGGGAATCCCGTCTGATTGCGGAAGAGGAAGAGGGTTTTGACTCCAGGCATGTTCCCTCCGCACTTCTCACGGGGCGTCACAATCGGGTAGCGCACGCTGCCGTCTGCCAGCCAGCCGGGGTTGCAGTGGTCCAGTCCTTGGTTCCAGGCCGCATAGAGCTGGCCAGTCGTGGCCATCTCCACCCCCCGAGCTTCACACTCGGCTTTGGCCTCCTCCCAGGTGAATTTCCTCAGGGAACTCACCACAAACAGGTCCCCTGAAGGCAGAAATGCAGCAGCTCATAAGGCTTTAAAAAGAAAAGCACCAGCATGTTTTATTTATTGAAATACTGACAGAAGTTCTTTGGAATCAGTTTGACTTTAAAAAAAATCAGAAAATGAGTGTTTTCCTCCTTAGGCTTAACCTACTTCCATGAAGCTAAAAACAATAAAACAAGATATTGAGTTGGCTATCTGGTTATCGAGTGCCCCATTTGAATGTTGGAGTGGATCTCATGCTAGGCTCTTCCCACCCCCTGCCAGAAGACAACCCACCAGCCCTGGTCCCAGAAGAAGACTGAATGGGATGGAAGCCACGTGGGGCAAAAGGCTTCTGGCAACTAAACTGACCGTAAAGTTCTTCAGCATAGCAGTAGACATCGTACGTGTCATCTGGATCGACCACGCCATAATTGCGGATTCCCGGAAAGCCGTTCATGTCTCCATAGCAGGCTTCGCGAGGGGTATGGATAGGGTACCTAGAGGTGATCATAGTGTGGTTACGTGATAAGACAAGTCAGGACTGGCTGCCTGATGTGAGGGTCGAAAAGAACCCAAGTAATAGAAATAAACAGGAGCTGAACCAACCAGCTTGTGAGAGAAAATGAAAAATGAAAGGGAAAAGATTCAGCCTGGAGCTCAGCTCTGGTGGGCTTCTCTTCCTGGCTCCCCTGAGCCACTTCCTGCCTTGAAGAAGAGAAGCCAAGTGGCCAGAGGCTTCCTAGTGGACCAGGCAGGATGTCAGCAGGGGCACTGGTGGGCCTGCGTCCCCTATCTTCAATGCGCCCAGTTATGGATGAACTGTGCAACTTTCCCCCCTAAGCTCTGAGAGATACAGTGTCTGCTTGAAGAAAAATTTGGATTGAGGAAAAATCCATAAAGGACATTTATGACCATGCAAATCATTCAATTCAGCAAACTAGAAATTTGTTTATTTTGCTGGTCTATGTTAAGAAGCAAATGTATCTTTGTAACAGTAAAATCTAAAATATTTTTTTTTTTGAAAAGTACCATAGTTCCAGGTCAGAATGCATTAATATTTGGGTTCTGCTTGTTTTTCTCCATGCATACATAAAAATGGGTTTCTAGGTAAAGAATATAGAGGTATTTCCTAGGCATGGATGCTGAACAGAATTATAACTAAGAAGCCAACTAGACTTTGTTAATGTCTGCAGACCAGCAAGTTAAGAACTGAAAACAAAACTTTAAGACGACTAAGAAAAAATGAAATAAAAGCACATACAAACACATACATTTCAAAAGTACAAATGTTTTAAGCATCCATGTTGAATATTTCTGTCCAGACAAGGGAAAGCGTTGCAGCCTATTCCAGGAAATGTGTTTTTGCTGCAGGATTTTCAAAACGTTTTTGCGTTAAAATAAAATTCACACCAATACAGACGGTTCATTTAAAGGTGCCTTTTACTTTCCCAACAAACCTGGTACCTAACTCATTCCGCATCAGTCCCCTGGCTTCCGGACCGAGGCCTGATTCACTGGGAAGGATGGCCAGCCGACCACCCCCCACTCCCCGCCGCGGCCCCTTTACCTGACGGTCTGGTCCGCCAGCCAGCCGGCGTCGCATTGCTCGTAGCCGCTGCGATAGGCGGCGTGGAGCTGCTCCGGGGTGGCGATGGCCGCTCCGATCCGGGCGCAGGCCGCCTGGGCCTGGGGAAAAGTGTAGGCGTAGCGGGAAGACCCTCCTCGGTAATGGAAGACCACCCCTGCAAGAGGAGAGGAGAGGCTGCAGCCCTCGGGGGTCCCTCCAACGCTCTGGCCACCCCGCCCTCCTTCTGCCTGACCTCTCCCGGGGCTTCTCTCCCAGGGGTTCGGCTCTCCCGCTCTCTCGGAGCCCGAACTGGCGGGGAAGGCGAAGTGAGCGCCTTTCCCTCGGAGGGGGCCGCAAGCGTCGCTAGTAACTCCCAGGACCATTGCAATTGCCAGGCTACCCCCCGCCCTCAGCTGTCCAGGTAGCGTCCCCGCAGGGCTTCCCCCACCTAAAAAGAGGCTCCCTGGGAGGCTGGCTCTGAGCTCTCTGTCTCCTGGGGTGGGACTTTTTCACAGGATCTGCCTCACAGCTCCGAAGAGGGAGGGCACGCTGGAAGGCTCAAGAAGGCTGCCTTCTCTTGAGGTGGCCTTTGTAGGATCTTAACTTTATTAAGGCTTCTGCTACCCTCTAAGTTTGCTTTGCTTTATCAACTAATATTGAAGGTTTCCTTGGCAGTGTTGGCTTGTATGGGGAAAGCTGTTAGGATCTTCATTGAGAGAAATAGAGGTTTCTATCCTAAAATACATCATTTTTAATACTCTTCATGAAAATTTTGCTTCATGGAAGGAAAGAAAGGAACATAGAACATACAATAATAGAGTTGGAAGGGACCTTGGAGGTCTTCTAGTCCAACCCTCTGCTCAAGCAGGAGAACCTCTACCATTCTGAACAAATGGCTGTCCAATCTCTTCTTGAAAATCTCCAGTGTTGGAACACTCACAACTTTTGGAGGAAAGCTATTCATTCCACTGGTTGTTTGCTCTCAGCATTAGGAAATTCCTCCTTAGTTCTAGGTTGCTTCTCTCCTTGGTTAGTTTCCAACCATTGTTTTTTGTCCTGCCTTTTGGTGCTTTGGAAAATAGTTTGACCCCCCTCGTCTTTGTAGGAGCCCCTCAAATATTGGAAGACTGCTACCAGGTCACCCCTAGTCAATTCTTTTCTTTTCTAGACTAGACATACCCAATATCTCTAGCCACATTTCATGTTTTAGCCTCCAGACCCCTAATCGTCTTTGTTGCTCTTTTCTTCAAGGAAATGGTTGCTAATGCTTACTAGTCCACCACTCAGAATATGGGGGTCATAAATTGAATAAAACAGAAATAAATAATGTAAATACATAGTAGATACATACTGGTAGTAGTTTGAGAAAAACTGCTTTGGAAGCGGCCAAATGAGAGATTTTAAGAACTTCAAGGAGAGCCGCATGAAAGAATTTAAGCCACAAATGTGAAGCTACTGCTGAGAAATCCATTAAATGATTTCAATATTGCAGATTATGGATTACATTACACATAAAAGAAGCCAATTCCTAACTGAATTGGCAGTGAAAATTCGCCTAGCATTTTGAACCCTCATCAGGAATGAAGCCAGGCATGGAATTCAGCCTCGGGGAGAGACCTGGGTGAGCTTGGGCTGGGAACCTCTTACCCTTCACCTTCACCTCCAGGAAATCCTGCCCATCCTCAATCCCGTGTTGAGCATCACAGCGATACAGTCCAGAGTCGTTGGAGCGCAGCTCACTCAGGACCAGGGTGGCATCCGTGGGTGAGTCAGGATAGAAGGGCAGAAAGACTCGGTCACGGTAGATTTCGCTGACTTTGACCTTCAGGCCCCGGGCCACCAGAATCTCGGTTTCTTTGCCGTCGGCAAGGAAGGTCCATTTTACTCGGAGGGTGCCCCGAACCCCATGGCGACTGGCCGTTTCAGCAGTGGGCAGTGGCCGCAGGTAGGTGATGTGGCAGGGAATGGTGAGGCTGCCAGACAGGACAGCGCGCACGGGCGGATACTTGGCAATTGAGACGCGAAGAGCTTTGAGGTCATCTGGGGGGAGAAAAGGGGGGGGCAAGCCTTGAGAAGCCTGGTGGGGGGGGCACCTGCAGAACTGTCAGAATGGATCTTTTGGGAGGGCAGTCCTTTCCCCTTGTGGCTGCTCTTCCACCCCTTTCTTCAACTTGAAAACTGAGGCAATGACTGACAGTGGCATCTCGGGAGGGTCAAGGGCTGCATCCTGGCCCTGGATGGCCTCCCCCCTCCACCAGTTTTGGGAGACAGACAATGTTGTATTTTGCCCGTTCCATCCATTATCACCAGCATAATCTGGAGGAGCTCCAGAGAGGCCCAAGGGGCACAGGGAAGTCATGGCGATCATTACCCACTTCCCCCTTTTACCAGAAGGGCAAAAGGCTGAAGCCTCTGGGCCTGACTGCTATGCTTGCCTTCTGCAAACCCCTCCTCCATCTCTAGGGACAAAGAGGAGCGCTTGGCCCATCCTGCCCAGCCACTGCTTCTGCCCTGCCACGTGGCTGCATTACCTGTGCTTTCCCTGACAAAGTGGAAGGATGCCCCCAGAGACACCAGCTGGACCAAGGCAGTGCAGAGCAAGAGATCTCGGCAGTAGGCCATCCTGGTCCTGCTTGGGGGGAGACTGGAAGCTGGGTTTAGAGGGAAGGAAAGCTTAAGCAATGGTCTTTTCCCAAGTTCACTAGAAGGAAAAAAAAGAAAAAGAGGGAACATTTACATAACTGAACTATAACCGAATGCCCAAGAGGCCAAAATGTTGTAATGGCTTTGTTTGTTTGGCAGTCAGACAAGTTACCGGGTCTTTTCTCCACCTGATTGTTATGCATAAAGACCTGGATGATACCCCACCACCACCCATATAGCAGCCAGCTGGAGACTGACCTAGAACTTGAGGTACACCCCACACACGCCGCACCCCAGGGAAAGGAAGTTTTCAAAGTGGACCCATTCCGTCCGCTTTGCAGTCTCGGCCCAAAACGCCTCCAGCTTCTCTGGCTCCATGGCACAAAGAAAAACGTTTCTAAAGGCAGGAGGAGAAGCGCCTTGGGGAGCCCACAGAAAGAAGGTGCTTTTCCTTGGGGGCCGCTGGATGGCCAGACTAGGAAAAAGAAGCTCCCGGAGAGCACAATGTGGAAAGTGCGAGAGCGCCACCTGCTGGCCTTTAATGGAAATGAAAAAGTAGAAAAAAAATCCCAGCGGGAGGAATTCAGACCCAACTGGCTTTGAGGAAGAAAACCTTGCTAGCTATACAATAGCATGTAGTAGGTATTGGTCACCGCGAAAGTATACTACTATAAGTGTACTGTAGACAGGAAGCTTGTCGGACTCTGCCAGGGAGGAAGAAGAGTCGCGTAATGCTAGCAACCTTCACCCAGGGAACCACAGTCCGACCTCTGCCTTGTATCGCCAAATAAAACATCTCCCAGCCCTCGTAGGGAGGTATAAAGAAACCAGCTACCGGAGACCAGTGCTTCTGTCTCTGCCCCTCTCCCCCCCACTTTCCCTCTCTTCTACCCTTCTCTCCCCCTCGTCCCCTCCCTCCGCTCTTTCTCCCCCTCCCCCCTCTCCATCTTTCCTTCTCCCCTCCCCCTCCTCCCCCCTCTCTCCTTCTCTCCCTCCCTCCCCATCCCTCGCTCTCCACCCCCTCTCCCTCTCTCCTGCCCCTCCCTCTCTCCTTCTCTCCCTCCCCCTTCCTTTCTCCCCCTCCCCCTCCCTCCCTCTCTCCTGGGTCCATCTACCTGGGTTTGGTTTGGAAAGAATGGGTGAGATAGGCTGCAAGAGACTTTCGCAACTCTCCTGTATTACCAAGGTCCAACCGGTCCAGAACGATAGAGACGCATCTCTTTATTGAAGAATTGGTTATAAACTTTTGACAGCTACTTTGGCAAGAGAAAAAAAATCAACTCCGGGCAGATATAAAATGCTGATCAGGTGAGCTTTGTTCCAAAGAGATCGAGGAAAGATAATCTGACATAACTGTGGATGAAGAAGGGCAGCAATGCCCTTTCTCGGTGTAGAAGAAGCTTTTCGTCCTTTGGAAGAGTCCTTTCTGTTTTGGATAAGAGAGGGGACTCTCAGCCCTTTTATTGTGGATTCAAAGAATTGAATTTGAGCGGAAATGAAATCATACTGAATTCCTTCACAATGAAAATGGTAGTTAACTTCGGGAATACACATCAATGTCTAAAAGAACTCCACACTTGGTCAACAGAATGTGGGTTCGGGATTTCTCGCTTGCTCCAGAGGGGGAAAGACTGGACAAGGGGATGAAACTTGAAGGAGGAGGAGAGAGGAGAGCATAGAATCCTAGGGCTGGGAGGGACCTGCTCAGGGCAGGAAAATCTGGTGAAAGAAAGGAATCAAAAATAGGAAGAACAGCGTGACAGCTGTCAGTCAGGAGACTGGAAGGATCTGGGTTTGAAGGATCAAACAGAGGCTGAAACTGGGGCGGATCCTGCAGTCCGGGCGGCCTTAGACCCGATGACCTGTTAGGCCACTTCCAGCTCTGCCGTCCTATCCGAGGGACTTCTTGGACGTGAGTTCTGCCGAAGGCCTCCTGCCAAAGCGGGCCTTGGGAAGCCGCCAGTAGGTGCCTCCTCAGCCTTCCCCTTGGCTGTGGGTGGCACCGGGCCCGGGCTCTGTGGCGGCGCCAGGCGGCAGCTGTCAAGATGCAAGACGAGGAAGACATTTGCCCGCCCTTCTTTCCAAGGGGCTGCTGCCCTTTCTTGGCGACTCCTCGCCTCATTTAACCGTCTCCTCCAGAATTTATCGAGGCGGCTTTGGTCTGGCTCCTCGCAGGGCTGCCTTTGCCATCTGCCGAGCGCCAGCGGGGCGGGGGAGGCTTTGACCCTCAGAAGCCACCCAGCCAGGCCCTCGCGTGCAGCCATCCCAGGGATTCGAGCGACCGCCCGGCCTTTGCTTCTCAGCTCTCCCTCCACCATCTCGGGGTGGCCGCAGCAGCCGCGGACGGATCTTCAGCTCTCCTGGGCAGGCGCGCAGTGTCGATCCTCGTGGGCGAGGATCGGGGCACCGCGCGCGGCGTCCCAGTCCAGTCCCCAAGGCGCGCGAGAAGCGGAGAGCCCAGACGCCCTAAGAGGACGCGCTCGCTTCGGGAAGGGCTCCGCTGCCGGCAGCCCGCAGCCCTCAAGCGGGCTTGGGCAGAGCTCGACGTCTCCCTCCCTCCCTCCCTCCGGCTTTGTGGAGGTGCACGGAGCCCGTCCAGCCAGGCGCAGCTCAGCCCGCGAGCGGCGCTTGCAAGCCCCGCCGGGACGCCTCTCAGCCCAGGGGCCGGCGACCCTTTTCGCCCCCAAAGGTTTTGCCTGCCTGCCACGGAGTTTGGCGAACCGAGCGATGACGGCCGCGGGGAGAAACACCTTTCGGGAGGTGGAATTGGGAGCCTTCGCTCTAGTGGCAAAAAGGGGGAAGGAGCTGCGTCCCTCCCGGCTTCTTCTAGGCGACGGCTGGGCGCCTTGAGAGGGAGAAGCGAGGCTCTGCGCCCAGCCGCCCTGAGCCCCCCCCCCGCCAGCCCTCCGGCTCGGCCTCTGAGAGGGAGGCTGGCAGCTCCGGCCTCGCGTCTCCTCGCCCCGCGCCCCGGGCATCGCTGCCCGCTTTGCAAGAGACTGGAAGAGAGCGGAAAGAGCGAGTAGAAAGCGCATCTCCGCATTGGGCGGGAACCAAACTTTTTGCACCTGCAGCGTCTGCCGAAGGTTTTGACCTTTTTCTGGGGACGTTGCCGGAGTCCTGCTTGTTCGCTCACTCTGGCGCTCGCTCTCTCACACACACAATACTACAGTTGTGTGCAGTGGTGAGGAAATGTGGGAAAAGACCCGGATCGGCTGGGGAAGTAACCAGTTTCTAAAGAGGAAGAATAAGTGGTAAAACGAGTAAGGCTGCCCGCCTCGCCAATCAACCCCCCCCCCAGCCCAACCGAACACATTCCTTGAAAGGAACCCCCAATCTTGGAGCGGGTGGCTCCGTGCCCAGCTGCACTTTAAGAAGTCTTTTTCTAACCTTCAGTTGAAATTCTTCCAGGTTCTGGAATACCACTGAATAATTATGATTAGTTTTTTTCTTCCTGAAGTTCAGCTTCCCTTTATATACCATTTCCAGCTTCTCTGGGGCAATTTAAGTTGGCCTAAGGTGCCGCCGCGGATATTCCCCAGCCTGGCACCGGGATCCGGTGATATACAGCATTCCTAAGCTTCTCCCAGAGGGATCGTTTCTCTCTGCAAGCGTTGTCTGCTCAGCTGACAAAGGTGAGCTGTCAAAGGGGAGGAAGGAGCACCCCTCACTCTCCCCCCTCCCTTGCAGTTTCCTAGGCTTTGGCAGCTGCAGCGCTAGTAACTGGCCAGGGCAGAGGAAGAGGGGGGACTAAAGGCAGAGACAAGGCAGGAAAAACAAGCCGTCCCACCCAGTGATGCAGGAGTGGCATCAGGATCTGTTTCCAGCATCCCCCAGTTTTAGACAAGCTCATACTGAGTGGGATCTTTTCTGTTTTTCTTTGGCATCTTTTCCTGCTTCAGCTTTTGGGGCGGAGGGGGGGGGCGCCATCAGTTCTATGTCCAAATACATCTGGGGGTCCTCAAGGACTTTTGAGCCAGGCAGCTATTTGTCCAGTCCCCTTCCTCAAGGCCTGCTCTGGCCTTGGCCTTTGCAAAGCAGCTGGGTGACGCCCTCAACCCCTCCTCTACTCTTAGGTGCTGTGTGACTTGATGGGCTTGACCAGTTAACCCCTTTGGCTTATCTACAAGGTAAAGATGGTTGCCCTGCTGGGAACTTTCCAGTGCAGCAATAGCCTGCCTGTTTCACCAGAGACCCCCAAACCGAGCTCAGGGCTGCTGCTGTGGCAAATGCCAGCCTTGAGCAGAAGATTGGAGTAGATGATCTCCAAAGCACCTTTGGCTCTTATAGTCTTCCTATGTGAAAACTACCCAGCAAATGCAAAGTCATTTAAAGAAAAGATGCTACCTTCAACCTCTGGGGCCCTAAAAGGCTTGTGACTGTGGTATTTGTGGACAATGTTTGTAGACTGCCCCAATTACATGGGAAAAACCACTGAACTAACATAACCCAACCCAAACCAAACCAAACCAAACCAAGACAATGATTTACCTCATTATGAATCAACCAAGGCCAAAGGCTGGCAGGAAATGGTCTCAATGAACTTGTGAAATGCAAAGAGTGACAGGCCAAACCAGGGAAATGGTCCTCTAAGAATGGCAGGTCTTGTATGGTCCCCCATGTCTTTGAAGGACCTCCTCGTCTTTGGAGGATTTTCTCCAGGGGCCTCCCTTGCTTTGCTGAGTGGCTACCACTTGCATTTAATGATAAATGCAATGTTTCCTTGGCAGGAACACAGGTGAAATCAGGGAAGCAAGTGTTTCTCTCTACTCTGCCCTCTAGGTAGAGACTCATCAGCCAGAAGAGCCCTGCTTAGGAGAAACTTGGTCTTTTCATCACCTGAACTACTTCTTGTGAAAATGCTGCTCCTTTGTAATCTAGACTGGCCGACAAGTTTGTTAGGATGCTTGGGCCCATGGACTATGGTCTGAATGAACGGGCACAGAAAATAACAAGAAGTGCATCAAATGGGCTCCCATTTGAGGAACAGTGGAAGCTCGGAAGATTCATGGCTGATGGAAACATTCACCTAGATGCCACATGTACTGCCCACGGTACAGAACTCCCATGCTTTCTGAAGAGCACTTCTGCTGGTAGCAAAACCATCCACCATGGAGCTGCAGAGACCAACATGGAGATTAAATACCCCAGTGGGGATGTATAAATCTTCGGATCTAACCTTAGAAAGGGGGTGGGTGGAGGGGGGGTTGGCTGCTTTTCAGGAACAGACACAGATGGACCCAGCCTCAGAAAAAGTGGAGGTGGGTGAGCTCTTGAATGGGGGTGGTGGTATATAAGGGGCATCCTGTTTTCTGGTGGGAAAAGCTGAACATGCCTGGAGGGTCGTGTGTGTGTGTGTGTGTGTGTGTGTGTGTGTGTGTGTGAACACACATATCTGTCCCTCACACACACATATCCCTTGTTGGTATGCATTCCCTGTATTTCTTCTTGCTTCCACAAATGGAGAAGCATTTGAAGAGAATCCATTCACAGCGCCCAATGGGCCACTCCAGGCCAGCAGCCAGGAAAGCTGGATCTTTGCCCAGGGTCTTTTCAAGCCTCTGGGAAGCCCCTGGGCTGGATTCACACCCCTCCCTCTTTTTCTGCCACCTGCCACCCTGCTGCTGCTGCTGCTGCTGCTGCTCTCACAGGAGTGTTGAGGGAGCTCCGGGCAGCAGCCTGTGGGCATAGTTTGGGCTCACTTTCCTGGGCATCCTGGGCCTTAATGGGCAAGTTTACCCGTGGACTCCAAGGGGGAGTGTGCACTCCCCAAACACGCCAAGGTTGTTTGGGATTAGCCTGGAATGTCTTCTCATCCTTGGAAGTTGCTGAAACCGATTTGAAAGTTGCTTGGTGCAAAATGGAGCAGTTTGGGGGTTTCACCCACAGTTTACAGTTCCTTAAACCTGGCAGATATTGAAGAGTTTGCAGGGATCAGAAACAAAATCATGCATTAGCAGCTGCCACCAAGTTGGGGCAGGAGATCAGGAAGCCCTTTCCAGACAAGTCTTGCCATGTGCCCCAGTGGCTCTCAGGGCAGGTGGTTCCTTGGAGGGGGGCCATCTCCTTGGGATTCAGCAAGAACCCCAAGAAGGTCATCCCCAGATGATCTGGCCACAATTTTAGCCTAAAAGTGGAGTAGAATATGGAGGTATGAAAAGCCAGCAGCACTACTCAATCCAACACCCCAGGGAAGAGTCCTACAGAATTCTCCTCCTAATGTTTCCACTTGCCCCCAATCAGCAAGGGTCCCAGCTGGCCTTTGCTGACTCTCCCTCGTTTTCCACTTGGTGACTCCGACTTTAGGTAGCCTCCTTCAGATCTTGTAGGTTCTAATCTGCTCCAGTGGGCAATGCCCACCATCAAAAGAAAACGTCTTCCCAGCATCCTTGGTGCCATTGAACTGGGGGGACCATAATGAGTTATTTCCAGGCAACAGCAGCAGAGAGGCTGCTTGGCCTGCTTGAAAGAATTTGGGGACTGAAAGGCTCCTGGGAAGGGGGATGAGAAGCAGTCTTTTGTGAAGAGGGCTCCTTCCTGCGAAGGACTTTGTCCTGCCAGCAGTGACATCCAGCACCCCCTGCAGAAAGTCCTTGGCTGGCCTGCAAGACCAATATCACTACACTCTCTCTAGAGAGCTGGCAGAGCTCTTTTGGGGCAGTGGGGGGGGGGGCTCCTCCTGGCTGCAGGATTCTTTCTGCTACAAATGGCCCTGTCTGCTCTCTACCTCTCCAAGGAGCTCAGCAGTGGAGAGTCTGCAGATTGGCCCTGGCAGAGGCTTCTCCTCTCTATCACTGCTGGAGGCAGGCAGCAACAGCAGTCTTCTTCTGAAAGAAGCTCAGGCTTTGAGAGATCAGGCCCATGATCAGGCTCCATCACATGAAGACAAGATTCATGTGATGGAGGTGTGGGAAGGTCTATAATAGTTCTAGACTTTGGCAGTGACAAAGGCTGCTCTTAGGAAGAAGGGCAGATAGCCTTTCCCTGGGACACAGTGACCAGTTTCTGGGGGGCCTTCTCCAAAACCCTTCAGCCACAGGAGAAGCACACTGCTGCTGGTCAAAGAGTCTTGTCTGCTGAGAAGTTACCGAAGGGAGGAAGCCACCAAGTTTTCATGAGGAAAGGAAGCTGGCTGAGTTGGTGCTTCAGGCTCATCTACAACAGTGCTAATCTTCATGTCAATTTCAGAGCCTCTGTTTCAGTCATCTACACAATAGTGAAAATTCCATTACTTAGAGAGGCAAAGCAGGTCCAATCCAGTCTGGAAGCCCACAGCAGCCAAGGTGTGATTTCCAGAGGAAACCTAGGTGGTTCTCTGGAGCTGCTTCCCACTCCTGGTCCTGACACTGAGCTGGAGAGCCTTATTCTGAGGCAGCCCTGGACTGGAACACTGCATGAAGTTGCCATGCTCCCAACGAAAGCGCAGGGAGACCCACTTGGAGAGATCTATGGGATCTTCTAGTCCAGAAACCCAACGGTGACCCTATTGTCCCCGGCTCATACTACTAGCAACCAGTAAGATATTTTCTTTACAAACAAGCCAATCAAAATAAAAATCAGAAAGGAGGCAGAGATAACATCTTCTGAAATGCATCTTGCTTGTAGAAAGAACCAAATCCCTTCCTAAAATGAAAAGCCCACCAATAAAATACTACAGAAACCGCCATGCTCAAACTTCCTCAAGAAAATGAAAAAAATATGTATGCCACGAAAGATGCTGGACAATTAGAAACCTTTGCCTGTTTAATGAAGGGGGAAGTACCTGATTCCCCCTCCTCCCCTTCTTGATAGATTAGCGGAGCCTGAGTTTTAAAGTATGAGCTCCTAATCCTCCTCCTTTATTGGAGAAGCTTTGAATGCCCGGCAGGTAGCAAATAAACAGCCATCTTCAGAGGGAGGCTGGCTCTGGATACCTTACTCCTGGCCCCGGAAAGTAGAAGCCGCCACCCCCGTTTCCCGAAGAAGTCGACGCTGGCCCGTTTCCTTCTCTCTCTCTTGGGCTGCCGAGGCCAGAAGAGAAGGGAGCGGAGAGGGTCCCCCGGACTCCAGCTGCTCCCCAAGAATGCCAACGCCCTCCCCCCGGGTCACGCCACGAAGTCCGGACCGCAGCCCGCAAATCCGCCGCGGCCAGTCTCGCCGCCTTGGGCCGGGCGGCGGTGCGGAAGATGCTCCGCACTTGGGCCGGCCCGACCTGCCGTTCCGCCCGAGCCCGACTGACCGCCACCGCCTCCGCGACGGGAGCCCCGCTGGGCGCGGAGAAGCGCGGCGCGTTCGGGACTCACCAGCTCCGGCGCGGAGAAGCAGCCCGCGCGCCCCCGGGAGAACGGCCCTGGCGCTGCGGTGGCCACTGCGGTGCAGAACTGCGGCGCTGGAAGGCCGGCCGGGCAGGAGGAGCGGCGGGACGGCCGGGAGGGCAGGGCGCCCCGCCTCCCCTCTCCTCGCCCCGCCCCCTCGAGCAGCGCCCTGGCCCTTGGGCTGCGCCGGAGCGCAGGTGCCGGAACCCCCTCCCCCAGCTCGGCCCGCTGCGGACCAGGTTCAAGTTAGGGGTGCGGCGGAAGGGGGGGCAGGTCGAAAGCCGCCGCACAGAGGGGGCGGCGGTGGAAGGGCGCCCACCCGCGAGGAGCGCCTGCAAGCAACCCAAAGGGAGTGCGGGGGCCCGAGCCGAGGTCTCTCGGGATGGGCGGCGGTTCTGGAGGGTCCAGCAGCTGCTGCATAGGGGTGCTGG